TCAGGGCCACAATGAACACAATAGAGAACTAAGTTCTACGAGAAAATGAAGCTGCGTTATGCCTGTTGTCTCGGTCTACATAAAACACCGGTTGGTTCAAGACATCATGTTCACCTTCTGGTAAAGTAAACCCGACAGATATTAACTATGAGTGGTTCAAGGCTTAAAAATGCCACCAACTCAAACACAGTGAATTTTTGCAAACACTCTCGATAAGTCTGTCTAGTCTAGTCAGGATTAGAATAAGTATTTTTTTTAAGTCTATCGAGTCTGCATATAGTCTGCATATGTTTAGAGTCATTTCTATTCATGTGGGGGATTGTTGGATCAAATAAAGAAGCCCATAGGCTTTTATATAGATTTGTGAATAAATATGACTTGGGCTGAATGTCATATAGCCCACATAATGTGTTATGTTTGTTCTAAAGTCCCACATCGGGCAAATGGAGAGGTTTTGAGCAATATATATATGTACTCAGGATATGAGTGTGTAAACAGCTCAGTGAGAGAGGAAGCGCTCCACGCGCGCGCCGCCGCCGCCGTCCGGCCCGGCTCGGCTCGGCTCGGCTCGGCTCGGCGTGGGCGTGGGCTTGGGCTTGGGCTTGGGCTTGGGCTTGGGCTTGGGCTTGGGCTTTATTGGAGGGCCTTTGGCCCGATAAGAAGTTATCTTTTTGGGCCAAGTTAAGCTCAACGTTTTGCCATTTCATTTCTAAAAAACAGCATGACATTTGTGTATAAACGACGTGTAGTTCGTTTAAAAACGGCACGACATTTATCTGTTCGAAATGGTNTTTCACGAGTGTAGCGTGATTCGTCTGCCATGGTTGTATCCTGGGACTCTATATTCGTACAGTTTCGTCTCACTACGGAGCGAATATTAAGAGTTAAGGAAAGAGATTTATCTCGCCTCCGTGTTTCATATAATCGTTTCTTTCCTTAACTCCGTCTTTCTTATATCGTCTATGTCGATCCGGTTTTCCGGCTTCTACACATATGAGAAACTAGGCCTGTGGGTTCGGGTAGTTCGGTTCAACAGAAATCTTACTGAATTAACCCAAAATAAAATTTGGTTCGGTTAGTTTTGAATATTCTACCGAATTTTTTTTGTTTCGGTTATATATTGTAGTCATTCTTGTGAGAATAAAGAAAAAGATAAACATTTACTTACCTAGTTCCAGATTCAATCTCAGGAACATCAGATTCGTCTTCACTAGATCCTTGACTGGAGGCTAAACCGGAATCTGAATCTTGTCGACGTCGGCGACGATACTCTACAATCACACAGACAACATGAAGCAGACACTGTAGATTATACACAATGATCCAGAATCTGAGAGGAACACCAGGATTCTCCTCCGAGCTAAACCATAAAACTCCAACAGTGACGAACACGAAAGCTAGATTCCAGACCACATCCAAGACTATAACCGGTTTAGAGTACGCCCACTCACTCTGTCTCTCCTCAATCTCCTCAGCCGCTGTCTCACGGACTCGAACCGATGACTCACGGAGCATCATCCCTCGGCTGCTAGCACGTCGGAGAAGCCGCGACGCTGCGCCACGTAATGGTTGCGAAGAATGGGGCCGGTTTCGGTTCAGAAGAGGCGTAGAAACATCATTAGTCGCCAGAGAAGATGAAGAAGAGGAGGAGACATGATACATTTTAACGGTGTCGGAGCTAAGGCAATGATGGACGATTGGATCTTGATGAATAATAGAGATGTTCCTTAATCCTTATATAGGGATGAGACAGAGGTCGTGCTCCATTATTTGTCTTTTTAATTGTATTTAATTATTATTACAAGATTCCTCTCTCTTTTTTACTCTCTGTAATAGTGTGTGAAACAGAGCATACCGAAACCTACTCTGTTTTAAGCATTATGAGATAATTTAATTACTTTCATCATATGATAAGAATGTGACAACAATCATCAATCATTGTAAAAATAATAATAACATTACAAGAACTTAAAAGAAAAACGGAAGAAGAAGAGAGAGCTCAAAATCATGAGAGAGCTTTAGTATTGTTTTTATTTTCTTCCTCAGGTGCAGTGACAGTCCAATACTGTTTCACCGCGTAGTAAATCTTCACTCTCTCATGAGGACCTTTCTCGTGATCAGTAATTCTACCTTCCCATTGTAACCCTTTGGTTAATTCCTTAACCTTAATCAAAACGTCTACATCTTCTCTTATAATCACACCACCACCCGGTCTAAGAATCCGGTCCATCTCTAATAATATATCCTCCGGTTTACACTTATCTTGATACAACGTGAAAACCGAGTCAGCATGGATGAAATCATACGTTCTTGGATACGTTGACATCGCTTCACACCTAACAAAAAAAAAACAACAAAACCGGATTAAACCATAAACCGGATTAAATCAGCACGGTTGAGTTAAGCTTACCAGTTTTGATACGTTCCGATTAAACCACGTTCGTAAATGACACCGAGAGTGTTGAGCTTAGCTTCGACCGGGACAACGTTCATGACCCAGACCGGTTCATCTGCTAAGGCCGCCGCGAATCCACCGACGTAAGCGTTCATGTCGAGTATGTTTCTGTATCTCCCGGTTTCACCCAGCTGGTAATCTAGTTTCTTGTAATAAGAAACTCTCTGTTTCCACAATTCCGTGTCTCCCAAGAAACCTTCCGGTGTGATTTCCTTGAGATCACCGTTGTTTATTCTCGGAGGAACCGCGTTTAACCTAGCCGGCCATTTCTCCACCTTTCCTCCGGCCACCGTCTTTAGATCCTCCGCCTCATCAACTTCAGGTAATGGCGTTAAACAAGAATCCATCTTTGTATACCAGGCCATGTCGGGATCTTGATCATGACGACAAAACTCCGGTTTCTTCAAAACCTGTCTGGTTTTCTTACAGTGAATGTGGTTAAAGGGCTTTTGCCAGATTGCGAGATCATCTCTCTGAACTACTTTCTTCCAACACAAGCTTCTTGCAACTTGCTCGATCTGTGTCTGCTCTGCGTTTAAATCATCCATCGTCCTTTCCCATCCTTTCCAACGTTTCTGCCAATTAATCGGTGGTCCAGACAGTATCCAGTACCCTCCTGGTCTTAAAACCCTATCCACCTCCATCAAGTAAACCCCATCTGACAACATAACATAAAGTGTTAAAAGACTCAAAAAAGAGTAGTTTCGTAGTTGTTTAGGGTTTAGAGTTGAACCGTTTTGTCCCCATGGGATAAGGCAACGAGAGCAATGAGCTAAATCAAAGGCTCTAGCAGGGTACGGTAAGCGGATTGTGGCCATGATTCCGATCATCGCTGGCACGCCACGCTCAAGTGCGAACTGAACTTGAGCTTCGTGTGTGTCGCGTGGAGCAAACGACATCGTTGTAATGTTTCTCGATAATAGATATGCACCAAAGCTAGCTACCTGAAAAATCCAAAACACACATTTTTGAGTAATACCAAAAAATTAAAGCAAATGAAGATAAAATCTATATTATTAAAATAGAAACATTACAACATATTCTAGGTGGATTTTAAAATTGAACCTCCTATTATATAGCTTATCTTAATTCTTAACTTAATCTTTAATAAAATATTTTCTTTTATAATCTTTCACTAACAACCATAACTATTTAATTTCATATCTAATCTAATATTTCCAATTCGAATATTTCTTTGTATCCATTATATCATTCAACCAATTTATTAATCCATAAATATATACTATAGTTCTACTATAAAACAAACTATATTATATATCTTCATTTATGTCAATTGTTTACAGATAATTTGTTAGTCTACGTCTATTAAAATTTATTTTGATATTTTAGTACTATTAGCTAATATTATTTCAATACTATAAAATTGACCAACTCTACATTTTCATTGTCCATATTCATTATACGATAAACTTTAAACTACGGGTAGGCATTCGGGAGCCATCTAAGTTCGGTTCGAGTCTATTTAGTTTTCAAAATTTTTAGATTAAAAATTTCACCTCCATTCAAATATTTATAAATTTTGGTTCGGATTAATTTCAGATCTTTGCGGGTTTCGATTTATATAACCAATTTAATGCTTTCACCGTACATATATCTATAATATACTTATAAAAAACTATTAATACAAAATATGATTGTAATCATGTTATTTAGTCGCATAATAAGTACGACAAATTTAAAACTATATAAAACTAAACAATATACATATATAATTTGTTTAAACAAATTTGTTATGATCTAGTATTAGAAGTCAACACAAGGGATCTATATTTCATGACTTTGACTCTTAGTGTATAACTACCGGTTTAACTTTCAACATTACAAGTTTAACGATTTGGTACGAGTAGGTCAAAAATTACACTAGATAATTAGGTGACTTCAGTGTGTCTATCCGAAGCCAAAAATGTTGTAAAGACCGTTTGATTTTTTTTTCTTTAAACTAAATCTAGAAATGATGATGCACTAACTCCAAAAATTGAGTTACTGTTCACATACTATCAAATCGATTTTTAATCAGATTCTGATTAGATATGGATATGCATGTATATATCTTGCCATTTTAGGTGAATTTCTTGAACTAATTATAGGAAATATCCCAACAGTTATTCGATTGAACATATACTGTTGGGGAAAGAATCTTCTTTTTGACGTAATGAAATCAAAATAATTAGTAAGCAGATAAAATCAATTAAACTATAATCGAACCGGATAGTTCGGTTAATTCAGAGGGTAAAGAATATACAACGTACCCCACAACCGGTATCGATGGCTGTACGAATCGAACCGTCGCTGAGATCAATCAACCGTCCAATATCGTCAATGTAAGCATCAGCACCATGTGGAAACATCGTACCGCCACCAGGAAACCAAAACCGATCATTCTCGTACCGGACCCAATTCTGGTTCTTTTTCTCAACCGTAAGCTCCGTGTGAGGCACATTCGCGAACCACGCCACGTCACGGCTCTCCGGCCACCGGAACGGCGTCTTGTAACCGTACGGCGCCGGGATACGGCACTTCAGGACTTCGTCTCTCTCTGGACAATGCCTTTGTCTGTACTCCAACCTTTCCCGAGGGAAAGGCAACGATCGCTTCGCGTCTTCGCACGGCGTGTACTCGCTTAGTTTAGCGTCACACGACGGGAAAGACACGGCGGTTGACGGCACCGGAGGTGGATCATGAGGGTTGTGGTGCGCGTTGAAGTCGAGATCTCTGGTGAGAGTGGTTTTGGAGAATTTCTCGCACGGTGGGCCGCTTGAGAAATAAAATGCGGCGCGTGGAATGACCGCCGATGTTCGCCATATTCCGAGAAGGTAGCTACCGATGCAGAGGAGACCTACTAGGGTTATGTAATAAAGATTGGACTTCTTGTCCCTCGGTGATGTTCTTGTAAATAAATTCATCTCTTTGAGAAAACTCAATATTTTATTAAATAAGATAAGTGTATGTATATATACACACAACACAACGATGAATGGAATGTGTGACGAGTGAATTTGTCTAAGGGTTGATATGAAGTAGTTCGAGGGTAAGTATTATAAGGGAGGAGGAGGAGAGAATAGCGAGTGTTGAATACGCGCAGGAAGATCAACGGGTTAATTTATCGTTCGTGAGAGATTAGGTGTAAAACGTAGGAGCTTAATTGTCATAGGCAACAATGGAGGATTAATATTTTTCTAGTTAATTACATACTTAGAATGAGTAGATTCTTTTTTCTGTGGAAAATTATTGATTTGCAATATTGATTCAATGCATTTGTATTATGAGAAAGATATCTTTCAACATTTGGAAATGCTATAATGTTTTTGTATTGACTTCCTTATACTATGATATATGTTGCCATTTTAGAAAATAATGGAATTGACTTGTAGGTGAGGGTGCACAAGCCGATGAAGCGCGTGAAGTTTGTTACATAGGTGGGGTCCATTTGGGTCCTTTGGACACAAAGTGACGCAATCCCTCTTGCACTTTACTCCGGTCCAAACCAAATTCATATCTAAAATCTCCCGATTTAACCGGAAATTCACATATACACTGGTCGAGTATATACGCCACTTTCAGGAATGCTTTAAACTTTTGTTGGGGGTCTAGAGTTGGGGTGAAACCATGCCGGATTGTGAAGAAAACTCAAAGAAGCAAAGTTTGTTCAACACTTGAACCGCAAAACAAAATGAGAGTTTAAAACTTTCGCATCAAGAAACCGAGCATAAAACATTTATATTATAATCATCATAAGTATTTCATACAATGACTTATAATAGCAGAAAATTACTCAAAAGGACCAACAGAAACTTGCTGTAATGACCTCGACGCCAGATTTATTCCATGAGCTTCAAGGTGCTTTGATCTTGGGTCGTGTAGGAAGTAACTGTGTTTGTTAAGAGACACGTAAAGATTAGAAGAACTTGGAAAATGTGTTTTCTTGTGGAGAAGAGAAGTGTTGTTTAATTTACCTGGTAACAAGAAATGATGGAGGTAATGAATCCAAAAGCTCCGGTGACACGAGGTGTGATCTTCTTTGAAGATAACTGGAGAAGACCAGCTGCTACAACAATTTCCATGGCTGATTTGATCAAAGCAAGACTCCTCTCGTTAGACTGTTTAAGCTTAGCACGATACTCCTCATCCTGCAAAATTTTACACAATTAACAAAACGTGAATTGAGTATATAATATAACAATCCCTAGAAACTGAACATTAATAACATTACTTGGTACTTGGCCATTCTTAATCCCTTTTTCGATCTTCTTTGATTGATGATGAGAGTCTTCCAATCTCACCAAGCTAATAACAATGGAAACAGATAATAAGCGGTGAGAAACTGTAAAATAAGGACTCTATTGGGGTGTTACAAAAAAAAAAAAAAAAAAAAAAAAAAAAAAAAAAAAAAAAGGACTCTATTGGAAAGCAAATAAAAAATGGACATCGACTAAAGTTGTATAGACAGATGATCCCATCCAGCAGAAAAGTGATATACGTCCAAGTAACTCAGCTCTCTCTTTGTTGATGAGAGAAAATAAGAACATTAGTCACAAGCAAGAAACCTATTGGTGCACATGTTTGATTTTCACTCACTTTATAGATGCCTGATCTCCCAAGCCAGACAATTTGATCGAGGAACAAGAATGTAGATAAAAGTGCGTTCTTGGACTGCAACATAACAAACACCCATCAACCAAGACTGGTCCAGAACTAAAGATATGATGAAACAAGGGGGACACATTTCCAAGTAAAACAAGAGGAAGTGGTGTCCTATTATGGAAAGGGAATCCTATTGATAAAGATTATCTTTGTGTTTACATTTATCTTCTTAGGAATTATGTTAATATTCCTTTCTCTGTTAGGTTATGACCTATACAAGCTGTATATATTCTCGACTTTGTTCAAGAGGTTAATACACGTTGTCTTTATACAATATCAACTCTAGTTTACAAATAAAATTCTGAGACCTAAAAGTCTGTTCGAAAACAAATCTTCTGTTTGTCAAAATCCTTACCTTGTGTCTTGTTCTTAGTAAGAACAGAGGTTAGTTTGAAGTCATGGTCGACGGAGAAGAGTCGTCTGCTGTTAAAATCTCTACAAGCCAAGTAGAAAATGTCATCATCACGCCTACCCCATACTTGTTGTTCGCTTCCGACAATCCAGGAGTTTTAATCACCTATGTGATCTTCACGGGAGAAAACTATAACGAGTGGTCTACAGAGTTACTTAACGCACTAAGAGCCAAACGTAAGTTAGGGTTTATTGACGGGACTATACCCAAACCAGCCGTCAATGATTCTAACTTCGAACTTTGGTCATCAGTAAATTCGATGATTGTTGGTTGGATTCGTATGTCTATTGAACCTTGAGTTAGGTCAACAGTTACTTTTATCTCAGATTCTCACAAGTTGTGGGACAACTTGAAGAAACGGTTCACAGTTAGTAACAAAGTTCGAGTTCATCATCTCAAAGAACAAATCGCGTCCTGCAAACAGAACGGGGAATCAGTGATGGATTATTTTGGCCGGCTGGCTAAGTTGTGGGAGGAACTTGACATGTACAAACGTCTCCCAGCTTGTACCTGCAATGCGGCTGCTGATTATGAGAAAGAACATGAAGAAGAAAAGGTTCATCAATTCATCATGGGTTTCGATGAATCAAGGTTTGGTGGTATTTGTCAAAACATCGTTGCTACTGACTCTTCGATTGATCTCAGAGAATCATATGCAAAGGTGGTACGTGAGGAACAACGTCTCACCTCTGCTAAGGATCGTGAAGCACAAAGCAATGTTGTTGGTTTTATCACAAAGAAAGACTCACCGGAGTCGACTCATTCTAGTCAAAATCGTCGAGGAGTTCCTCAATGTGCACATTGTGGTCGTCGTAGTCATGAGAAAGCAAACTGTTGGCAGTATGTTGGGTTCCCGGACTGGTGGGATGAAACACCACCGCCTCGCGGTGATAACAGAGGAGGTCGCGGGGGTCGGGGTCGTGGTTCGTCTACCTCAGATCGCAACAAAAAAATGGTGCTCGTGCTAACACCGCGCATGCAACATCATCCAACTCATCTGCATTCCCAGCTTTCTCCGAGGAACAATCGCGAGCGCTTACTCAGATGATCAATGAGAAAACCAAATCATTCGGCAGGCTCACTGGTAAGAAATATGGAGATCTTATTCTAGACATGGGAGCTTCTCACCACATGACGGGAGAGTTGTCATTTCTAGACAAAGTAACGAGTATACCGCCTTGTCCCGTCGGGTTTGCGGATGGGAACAAAGCATATGCAACACACACTGGCGTGTTTCGTTTATCCAAAAACATAACACTGTCAAATGTGTTATTTGTTCCTAATTTAAACTACTCGCTTATATCAGTCTCAAAGCTTCTTCGAAAAACTCATTGCTTTGCCATTCTCACTAATACTTTGTGTGTTTTACAAGTTCGGTTCACGAGGACGCTGATTAGAGCAGGTGAAGAGAGAGATGGGGTTTATTACTTCAAAGATGTCATGGCTGCACATGTTCAAGTTGCTGATAAGTTGCTTACATCGGTTGATCTGTTTCTGTGGCACAAACGGCTAGGACATCCTTCGTTTCCAGTTTTATCATATTTACCTACGTTTTCTGTTTCAAATAAAACTGCTGCTCAAAGTCCTTGCGACACTTGTTTTGAAGTTAAGCAGACTAGAAAAGTTTTTTTATGAAAGTTTAAATAAAACTAAATAGTGTTTTGAGCTCATTCATTGCATGTCTGGGGACCATACCAGACTCGTTCGTCCTCAGGCACTGTCTGCTTTCTGACTATTGTTGATGATTTCTCCAGAGCAGTCTGGACATATTTACTTCTTGAAAAATCCGAAGTCAAGACAGTGCTTCAAATTTCATTAAGATGACTGCGAAACAGTTCTCCAAGGATGTAAAGACTGTTCGTAGTGACAATGGTACTGAATTCATGTGTTTATCTCAGTACTTCAGAGAGAATAGAATCATTCATCAAACTTCCTGCGTAGCCACACCTCATCAAAACGGAAGGGTAGAACGGAAACACCATCACATATTTAACGTTGCTCGATCTTTACTTTTTCAGGGCAATCTTCCGATAAAATTTTGGGGTTAGGCGATCCTGACTGCAGCTTATCTGATAAACCGAACTCCTTCTGCACTTCTTCACCAACGGTCTCCTTACGAAGTTCTGTACAACACCAAACCTAGTTACTCTCAGCTATGAGTTTTTGGCAGCTTGTGTTTTCTTCACCATAGAGCTCTTGACAAGGATAAGTTTGGTAAGAGAAGTAAACAATGCTTATTTGTTGGCTATCCTTATTCTCAGAAAGGATGGAGAGTTTATGACCTTGACAAACACGAGTTCTTCATATCGCGGGATGTTGTCTTTCAAGAAACTGAGTTCCCCTTCTCTTCTACACTTCCACAAACCACTACATCTACTCTTCCTTCTCTATGACTACAGTTGATGACGACATGGACATTGTTCACGAGCCTACGCTTGTTGACAGGGGGAGTTCTTCTGCAAGTAACAAACCTGTTGCTGTGGAAAGTGGTAACTCACCGATCACACCATTAACTGCATCTCTCAATAACGAGTTGTCTCCATTAGCTAACACCGAGTCTCCTTCTGATTCTGCTGCTCCTACGGATCCGGTTTCATCAGTCTTACCATCTCCTCCACAACCTGAACCCGAGTCTACAACGGGTTGGGGACAACGCTTACGTCACCCGTCAGTAAAACTCAGAGATTATGTCATGTACAACGCCATTAGTCTTGAAAACCCATCTCTCGCACTTCACTGCTCTACATCACCGTCTTCTGAAACTGTCCAAAGTAAATCACTCTATCCCTTAACCAATTTTATCACTGACGACAATTTTTCAGCATCACACAAGGCGTTTCTTGCGGCTATCACTGCTGGAGTTGAACCACGCTCCTACGCTCAAGCTGCTAAAGATGACATATGGCAGGTTGCAATGAAACACGAAGTTCTTGCACACGAAGAGAGTGGTAAATGGGACATCGAAACTTTTCCGCCAGACAAGAAGGCAACTGGTTGCCACTGGATATACAAGTATAAATACAGCGCTGATGGTACTATTGAACGTCCAAAAGCGAGATTAGTTGCGGATGGAAATAGACAGGTTGAGGGAGATGAATTTGCAGAGATGTTTGCTCCAGTTTTTAAGATGGGTACTATTTGTGCTCTGCTTTGTCTTGTTGCTGCAAAAGGTTGGGAAGTACATCAAATGGACGTGCACAATGCTTTCCTACATGGTGATCTTCAAGAAGAAGTTTATATGAAGTTACCTCCTGGATTTACACATTCTGCTTCTACTAAAGTATGTCGTCTACGTAAATCATTATATGGCCTTCGTCAAGCTCCTCACTGCTGGTTTGAGAAATTAACAAACTTGCTAAAAGAATACGGTTTTGAACAATTTTACTCGGATTATTCTTTGTTATGCTACAGCAAAGACTCCAAAGAACTTCGTGTCCTTATTTATGTTGATAACCTAGTTCTTGCTAGCAATGATCTTGCACTTCTCACAAAATTTAAACAGTATTTGGGTCAGTGTTTTAAGATGAAGGATTTAGGTAAACTTAAATACTTTCTTGGCATCGAAGTGGCTCGGTCAGAAGAAGGGATTTTTCTATTGATATCACTCAAATGTTTAACCCTAAGGAGTGAATTACTCTCTCAAATAAGAGGTTCAATCGTAGTACTTAGAGATCGAATCCACAAGGACTCTAGAATTACACTACAGATTATTAAGTCTTCGAAATAAAGCTAGACAATAAGATTTTAAACAGTAACTTAAAAGATAGCAAGTGAATGCTTGATTGATTGATTGGTTTGTTAAGAAGGAAGAAGATAGTTAAACTTAGGTATTTTCTCAGGTATGACATACATGCAAATTGTAAAGGGTTTTTATTATTCATAGTTCTAGATTCAAACTCTTAAGGAATTTATGGATTAACTCTACTGGATTTCGGGTTAGGACTATCGTCCGATAACCTGAAGGGAATATCGATCGATGTTTCTGTCGAAGCTATCGATCGATAGCTTCGACACTATCGATCGATGTTTCTGTCGAAGCTATCGATCGATGTAAATGCCGCTATATCGGTCGACAAGACTATCTTCTCGTCGGTCGATATCGCATCCAGCGAGTGGTAAAGGTGTATTTGAATGGATTATCTAGTTTCATTAAATTAACTTAGACTTATGGTATTCGCCAAGCTATCGCTTGTCCAAATTGATCCTAAAATCAGAGGCAAGGGTGATCAAT